ATTTGATGTTAGTGGGTAGTTACTTTTATGATTGACTCATACTATCTATTTAAACCTTGAAATATTGGAATAAAAATTATCAGATTAGATTAAAAAAGTTATCCCAAAAAGCACTTGTGTAAAAAGTCAAACTTCCTCAATAAAGTCATTTTTTCATTTTTATTTATTTTGTTCGTAATATTTACTTTATCCCTATATTTTGGTAATGGAGTACATGTTCCAGTTGCAAAAAACATGGAGGACCACATATGTTAATACAAAAGATGAACTATACAAGATCCATTGCCCATGAAATTTGAGTCTCTAGTTTGTTATACGACTGTAACAGTTCTTTTCCATTTTTTTTTTTTTACTGTGTTATGAAATCAAATTGAAATAAAACAAATTCGTGGGTCTTCGTTTTTCCCTTTCTTTCTCTTCCCATTGCTCCTCTTTTTGCTTTGCTTGTCTTATATATCTATAACTTTCAAAGTACTAGTTTCTAGTAATTACATAACAGATATTGTACTGACTTTACAAATATTCGATCTTCAATAAATTCATGAATATATAAAAATTTACATGCATGGAGAATATCATTTGAGTCATTACTCATTAATAGTTATATGTTGTTCTGCCACAACAGTACGGACCACATATGATGTCAGTTTCAATTTAAACCTATACTGCAATAAATTTATTTGATGATAAATTTAATATATTTTTATTTTACTCTTGCATATTTAAATATCTTATATTACTAATAATTAAAGTTTTAATTCTAATTACTTTTCTTTTTTAAAAATTGTCGAAATTTCATTATGAAGTAATTTATAATATAATATAATTTTATCACATTTACATTTAACAAGTAATATATACACATTATTGTTTGGGTTTTATAAGAGTTATGTTGTAGGAAATATGATTGTGTAATGTTATAGAGATTCGTTTTGCGTGCTTTAATTTTTTATTTATTTTTTTGTTTTAAAAAGTGTGGGCCCCACAAAATGTTATGAGAGTAGGAAAGTTTGTTGTGTTATGTTAAAGGATAAAACGAAAACCCTTATTGTTTATGTGACTATTACGACTGCTTTTCAAATAGTAGTTTCGATTATAATTTTATTCCGTACGTTATTGAAAATGTAAGTGTTTGTCCATTAATTTAATGGGAAAAGTGTTTATCCTTTTAAATGACACAACTTATATCCTTTCACTCTTACAAAGAAGTGGGACCCACACTTTTATTTATTTTTTGTCAACTCTCTCTCTCCTCCTCTATCTATTTTTTCTTTTTCTTAAAATGACACAATTTTACATCATTTAAAATGACACACACTTTACCCTTAATAAATTGGGGTTTAAACCTCTCATGTTGCTTGCTGTAGAACAAAATCTCCTCTTGCTCTTACTTCAATTTCTGATCTCAGCCTTTTTAAAAAAAATAAAATACAAATGGGCCCATAGTAGTTGTCTCTGCTGCATAAGAAGACATTTTTCCTATGAAAAAAGAAGTGTTTTGCCCTAATAAATATATGAAGTTATATATTTTTGTGCATCAACTTCATGACTCATGAATAGATGATACATATTTACACAAATTTACTCTTATCTATAGCTAACCTATGTGTCATACATTATTCACTATTAATCACATGATCAGAATCAATTTTATCTAAGCTGACTATGATGAACTTCCTCTAAAATTAATTTGATGCAGTTTTAATCCATGATTCTTCACTAGAACAAGGTAAGACGTACACATGCAAGAGACTCTAACGCTTAAGTCATCATTTATGGAAGCAGGTTTGTTTATGTAAAAGATGTGTACCTTATGTTTAGCACACTTGTATTTATACTGAGAGGATGATCAACTTTGGGGATGCCCCAGAATTGTTGCCTACAAGTGATGAAAGAGTAAACTCTTTCAATTGGTTATTATGTAGGTGGCTTAAGATAAGTTTGTAGAAGAGTTGCAAAAATTGTTGAACAACCTTTGTTGACTTAAGGAATCCTTTAGAAGATGTCTTTCTTCATGGTAAAGGACTTATAAATGGGTTTTTAATATGTCGTTTCAGATCACCACTTAATAAGGGACTAGGATAAAGCCAACATTTCAGTTATTAAGAGATAAGATCAATCACCTTATTCCCCAATAGGTAACTTCATCTATAAATAAAGAGTTAAGCCTTTTTACAAATTTTCTAAATCATATTCTCTTAATTGTTATTGCGCACACACCTCACATCTTTAGTCTTACGCCTCCATCATAGTGCATAATGATCTGTCACCCCTTGTGATGTTTCTTTCATAGACTACCGCAAGTGTATTACTCATTAACATTCGGTTATACATTCACGATCATTTTAGATAATCACCCTAAAATGAATTTGAACATGATTTTTTACGCTACTAATGATAATAATAAAAAAAGAATAAAGTCCTTTTTGGGTCCCTAGCAAAAAATGCAGTTTTCACTTTTGTCCCTTACAAAAAAAAGTCAACTTTTGATCCCTATGCAGTTCCAGTTTTTTTAAAATATGATTCCTCAAAAATTTAATGAAAACTCAATTTAGTCCCTAAAAAGATTAATATAGGTATTTTATTTTTCGTAAGAGACTGTATTTTTTGTTAGAGATCCAATAGAGGCTTTACTCTAAAAAAAAAATGTTTACTAATGCAACTTGAGCCAAACAATCGTGATAAACAAACTAATATACATTTTTTATTTTTTTTGTAAACAACATACGATAAGCTTAAGTGTGTGCTTGGATAAAAAAAAAAATTAAAATACAAGGTAATTCAATATCTTCTATTTATTTCCCTTTACTTGTAAAAGTTATTATTTGAGTAAAATAATTAAATTTTCTTTATTTATAATCTTTTATTTAGATGATTAAATTTAGCAAATTATTTTTATTGCGTAACAATATGGAAAACACTTTTTTCTCTCTATTGCACATGTTAGAAGGAAAAGAAATTGTGTGGGACATCGGATAGTTATCTATGCTCAATGCAATCCAACTAATGTACGGATTGAAGAAGCACCCAACATATCAACTAAGAGGCAGACACGTTAATTTTTGTGAAAACTGCGTGTTTCAACATGTGTCCAATATGCAGTAAATCCTCCGACACATAAGAGGGCTCTGATTTTTAGATTTTTTTTTACTATATATATATATATATATATATATATATATATATATATATATATATATATAATTTTGGGCTGAAAAAAATTAATTTTTGCTAAAAAAATTAAGTAATTGGGCTGAAAGTTTCAAAAAATCTTAAACAAACTCAACTTCAGATATTGAAATTGTAGTTTTTTCCAAAGGGTGTAGCAAACTTTTAGGGTTCAAGAAAAAAATTTAAAATCAGGCACACTTGATTATCAACAGGGTGACGAAAATCATTGTCAAAGAAGACAACACAGCAAAACACAAACAGGGGTTTCAATTTTTTGAGCTAAATATTGGGGAAGGAAAAGAGTTCGCATCCATTGTCGAATGGAAGATAATCAAGACCAGACTTTGAAATTGAATGAAAGATCAATTTCTTGATGATTCTTTGATTACATATATTGAAAAATACATTGTTTTGATTTTTAGCACAGATTCAATTATAGAAGAGTTTAATAATATGAAAAAACGTAGAGCAAGAGTTAAGTGAATTGACTTTGAATTTTATAATAAAAATCTTTCAAACTTTTTATATTAGGTTCATGTATGATTTGTATGTACTTTTCTTAATAATATAAAAAAAAAATTCGCCCCCACTATAAAAAGTTCTGGGTCCGCGACTGCTCCGACATATATTCGATATGTTGTCAATTTTTTTTGACGTATGGTTTTTTTTTAGATCCAACTTTTATTTTATTTATTTTTTTAATTAAATATGAAAAATTAATTTATGAATCAAATAGTTCTATTATGAAATTTGATAACAAGGTATGAAAATTATTTTTATTTTATATTTATGTTATGAAATTTGAATATTTAATTAATTATATAACTTATTATAGGCTACTTTATGTATTAAAGGTAAACTATATTATATATATTAAAAATATTATTTAATATCAAAAAATATCGAAATTTAATATTTTTTAGGGTAACATAGCATATCAATGGGCTAGCCATACATGGCTAAGAAGAAAAAGAAACTTTTTTGCAACTGTCTGCATCGATAATTCCTCAACCATCGAAGAACCAGAGAATTAAAAAAATTGAATATCATTCTAAGAGCCCGTTAACACTTTACTTTTATTTTTTTATGTATAGCTAAAAGTTATTTTAAAGTTAAAGTTAAAAAAACAATCTTAAAACATAAAGTAAAAAATTGTTTAATAATGATATACAATTTTGATGATGTTTTTAGGGTTTTAAAGACGGAATATTGCATAATTTGTCATTAGAATAAATTATTAGAATAGAGGATAAATAGAATAATCAGAAAATCAGAAAATAAAATGAGGACTCCAAAAAAGTGACATATATCTAAAAAAAAGTTATTCCTGTGAACTTTTAAATTTTTTTATTCATTAAAAAAATTCTTTTATCATAATAACGTTTGTAAAATTATATTTAGTTAAACTTCTATTTTGAGGAAAAAGAAAAGGTAAAACGAAAAAAAAGAGCCAAAGAAGCATTAAGATGCTCAGAATTCAGAACTATGTTTCTGGATAGTATGAACTCTCATTGTTCTTATTCATCCTGAATATCTAAAGCCTTTGATGTCATAGAACTTTTTCCTTTGTTGATTCCGTTTACACACTTTTACTCATCCCGTTTATAAAGTTCCTAATTAATATGTATAATTTACTCCATCATCTTTCACTTACAAACTGTAATTACCTTTGATATTCTAATTATTACTTTAAAGTAAGAATAAATTTCTCTACACCTATATATAATGTATTAATCGCACGGATATAAGAACACACAAAATATCCCAAGCATTAGGTCTAGCGAACTTGTTAAAAAAACTGTATTCATAATCTTTCTTTTCGCCCAAAAGAAAATGGCACCTTATATGTATTTGAACATTTTCATTACTTCCACCCTGGATTCATATTTCTGATCTTTAACACAAGATCTGAAAAAAGCAAAACTGCACGTGTCAACCCACCATCTTCTACACCAAAAAATCATCACAGGGTCTAAATCACCACAGATTCAACAGAAAACTGCATTGCCAGCTGACTCCATGATTCTGTTTTTTTTTTTTTTCTTTGTTAACCAAAACTTTACCAGCCATAATCAGTTGGATGCAGCAGTCAATGAACTTTAACCAGTTCGATGTCATAAACCAGCCATGAATTTGGAGGTATTTTGGCATTGGGTTCATCACTCGAAGACCTGAGACAGCACATATAATAAAAGGTAATAAGGATCCCAAATTAGACATTAGAGCATAGAAAATTAAGTAAATTTAACACACAAATTTAATCACATACGTCATTGATGGTGGGATCACAAGTCTTCTCTTTTCTCCAACTCGCATGCCTGAAAACCATGATTATATATTATATATGCATCTTTGATAGTATGTAGATAAATAATATAATTCAATAACAAACAAAAGCTGAATAAGGGAAAAGAACATGGATAAAATGTCTAACCTTCAAGGCCAACATCCCAACCCTTCATAACTTTTCCTTTCCCTGCGAAAGGTAATACAAGTAAGGACACAGTCATATCCAGGTAACAGAAGGTTCTAGTTAATGGTGTTACCAAGGCGAAATTTGAGAGGAGCTTGGTCAGCATTTGACTCAAATATTGCTCCATTTTCCTTCAACTTTCCAGTGTAATAAATGCTGATCTGCAACCAAAGACTACTTATTTAAATCAAATCGAATCTGCAATTCTTTTTGTTAAAACTTCTTACAGGTAGCCACTAAGATATTTTAAATCATTTAAAAGAACTACCTTTTTCCCTGATGCAGCAATTTTTCCATCTTCTGTCCCCATCTCTAGCTCTTGAATAACTAGTCCATTTGACAATGTTCTAACTTGGGAAGTCTTTGCATCTTCCCTCTTGTTTCCACCCTCCTCTATTGTCTCCCTACTTTGCTCAACAGATAGAGGCATATCAGAATTTACAACTTCCACATTGCCCTGACTTTTACTCTTTTTCTTCCTTTTCTTAACTTTTCTATCCTCAGACTGATTTCCATCAGGAAAGTAATGAGCACCATCCTCCACACTTCTGTAGAATAATAGTATATGAATGAAATTATGAACGAGTTCATAAAACTCAAGGATTTGCAAGGATGCTAAAAGTACAAAACAAATTAAAAGTGCACTGTATAGACTACTTAAATAGTGAAAATGGCATAATAAGTTCATCAGCACCGTTCATTTAATTTTATTTTATTTTATAAAAAAAAAAAAAGAATTTAGATTGATTACTGACCAAGGAACTAAGGTAATTGTCTTCTTAAAGGTATTCCATACCAAAGTGTAATAACCAATGTACTAGTTTTTGTGACTGTAAAATAGCACTTCTATCAATTTGCAAATACATGAGAAAGATAAATTTGTGCCCATTTTTACCATGACTTCAGACTAGAATGACTGTCACTCTTCAGTTGTGTATTGATCTCTATGACTACCCTTTCAAACTCCCCTATCTAACAAAAAAAATGTTAAAGGAATAAAATAATAATAGCTATCACAATTTCGGAGGCTTATTATGAGATCATATGATTTATATTTTTTATTTTTCTAACTGATACTACTACTAGCAGTACACTTCTTCTCATCCTTGTTGCACTTTCTTTCTATTTTATTTTTCTTTAGCTTCTGTATAACAAGATTAACTGCTTCATTCAAAATCAACTTGTTTCATTTTAATTTGATATAGGGATTTTATTTGTCAGTTGCAGCTTACTTGAAGGAATAACGATATTTTATAACTATATTCACAAAGCATAAAAAGCTTGAACCAATTCAAGTCTCAATTGATTTAATCAGCAAATTTGTCTTGGAAATGTTCAAACCAGTTCAGTGTTCGCAAGTTTGCCAAAAAGATTTTGTTACTTACTAAAATTTGTTTTGCCACAAGTTAAATTTCAGCATTATTAAAGCCTGTACTACTGATTTCTGCATTATCCTCAATCAAAAGCATAAACCAAACAAAAGAGATCTTACTTTTCATTTGTTAGCTCCTGATGATGCTCTTTTCTCTCGGAAAATTTATGAATCAGATTATTGGAATCTATTGTATCTCTGTTGGCTTTATACTCTTGTATAATATCTTCAACGTGTCCATAGTCACCTTCAAGATGTAAACCTTTGTTTACCTGATCTTTATTTTTCCTCTTTCTTCTACTCCTTTCAAGACTCATTTCAGCAGAAGGCAATCCAACATTGTCTGAAATCTTTACATCCCTGCTAATTTGCTAAGGCATATCAGATAACAAATATTTCTTATTTTCATTTGACAGAATGTTGCACAAAATTTTAATATACAAATTGCAGGGGAAATAGCAGCAGAGAAATATGGAGTGAAGTTTTGGAAGTTGAACAATTCAGAACATGACAATTTCATGGAGAACAACTGTAGAAATCCATTTGTAAGGATATGGATTTCTTCTTGAGTTTTACTTTAAGCACTGGAGTCTGGAGGGGTTTCATTTAATATTAAATTGTAAAATGACACTATATATGAAAATCATTTGAAAATTTCAATTCCTTATTTACTTTTTATAGTAGATGGAAAGAACACCCGAGTTGCTTGCTAGTTGCAGAGAGATGGCAGAAGAACACAATTTTAAGCAGCAGTTAATAAACATTAGATTAAGAGGTAAATTCCATGGGAACCATTATTGCATATGTTGTATCAGCAGGTAGCTATGTATCAAAGTATAATTCCAGTGAAATATGCACGGTCTGTATTCTCTTAATAACTTCTACTAGAAAGGCTAACCTAATTGTACTGCTAAGTGCTAACATAAGCCCCATTCAAGGTCTCTCTGTTGCATAAACAGCTGGTTTTGTGAGTCTCTGTTGCATATTTCCAGAGCATTAAAAATATTTTATCAACTTCACAATTACCAAATACAGCATGTTGTAGGCTTATTCTGCTAAAACTGTTCAGAAAAACAAGTACTACCTGATTGGCTAAACAGTAGTTAAAGGAAAACTCACTCATTAACAGTGTGCTGTTTATTTTGTTCATTTATATGAACGTTCTTTGACTGTTCTTTCCTATTCTTCTTTGACTTTTCACCCTGTCCAAGACCAACCTCAGAAGAAGGTAGTATTTTATCCTTGGTTTCAGTTTCCCTGCTTCATATCGAAGACAAAAAAGATCAGCAACCAAACCAGAAAACTTTGCATGAAACACAACAAAGGAAGTATGTAAAGGCATCGGCATTTTTAGCTCTGCTTTCTTTCCCCAACATGGTCTTTGATAGCAGGTGCAGAACCAAGGAACAAAATCCTCTCCAAGGTGGCATATAGGTAGACAAGAAACAGATATGCATTTAAAATTCTGTACATTAAAAATTTGATAACTTTATTTTTATGAAACTTTAATTTTGATTATTACTAAAATAGCTATAAATATATTTAAAATCGGACAGATATTGTTAAGTTTAATATACTTACAAACAAAATAAAATTGATAATTATTTGTATAGGAGTAAAGGATGTACATTTAGGGTCAGTTTGGTATCCCCTCACAAATGAGAAGAAATTTCCAGTGGAAAGTCAAAAATGAAAAATATGAAAAATTCACCCCTGAACTTTTCACCCTCAATTTTGAGGGAATACCAAACTGACTCTTAAAATTAAAAAATAAAGTGATACAATATTGTAATTAAGTAACCAAACCAAAATATGATACCCAAAAAGCCATATAATATTTTTGCTATAATCAAGAACCCTAAATTCTTTATTTTGAGATTTTTATGGCCTTCATATAAATATATAACTCGGTGTAGTTTTTCAAATTAGTCTTAACATTTTATCACAGGAATAACTATGAATATTACTCAGTAAGAACATTTTCTTACAATATTCAACCATGTAAATGAGGGGAACTATTAGAATCAAGAACTCAAAAGACATAATTACTCACTTATCATCAGCATGCTGCTGGTATTGTTCATTTCCTTCCAGAAAATCCTGAGTCATCTTGTCCATTTTTGGCCCATCTGGCACAACATTATCTAGTTTGATAAAATGGCCATTACAAGAACTCTTTGTTTCTTTTTCCTTGCCTTTCTTTTTCTTTTTTAGCTTTTTAATATCCCCAACCCCAACATCAAGAACAGAACAAGGATCTACTAGGTGGCTTGACAGTTCAGCTTCCCTGCTTTTCGTTATGATAAAAGGCAAGAATGAATAAAAGTTTATCCCTAAAAACTAATGCTGACAAGAGCAGGCATGTATTTGAATCAAGATTGAGAATTGAGAAGAGTCACCTATGCATCTGACTATCTCCAAGGACGTGGTCAGTTTTTAAATTTGTTTCAATAATACTATTTCCACCATCTTCACCATTCTTCTTGCTGCCATCACCTGCTCCTCTGTCAACACTATCATCCATTTCCTGGTCCAAGACCCTTCCAGAGGCTTTATTCTTGTAAAGGGGTGAAATTGGCAGGCTATCTTCATTACCAGTTTCCTTGGTTTGGTCATTTATACTGTCATTGACAATTATCTTTTCTTCAAAAGAGCCATCATCATCCGATTCTACTGATTGGTACTTCCTCCTAAGCCGCCGAAAGCCACTTTTCGTACCTTTTGGTCTGTTATCATCAGAGGCTTCCTCTGTAGTCATCACAATCAAAACAAACCAATAATACATGTCAAAAAAAAATTGTTAAAGAAAAGATGCATTTGTGTAATAATTGAAGAATCAATTTCCATATGTAAGATGATGAAATTGATGTTAACTGTGGTTATCATTCATGAAAATAAAAAGATGTTTGAAGAAAGGATTCAAAATTGGGGAAAGAAGAAATGTCAGAAGAAATTGGTTTTCTAATCAATGAATATATGTACTGAAATCAGCTAGCGGTTTATCAAAATGCTTTTCAAATGATCATGTAATTAGTTTTTCTAATAGAGGATTCTGCCAGCCTCAGCCTGCTAAATTGGTTATTCACTAGATGAAAGACTTATAGCAAAGTGGTATAGACAATAAACTCTTAGTTAGAATTAATATATATCATGTAATTAGTTTTTTTAAAATGAATGCCGCAAGCCGGCTAACATGGATTATTCACTTGAAGAAAGACATGGTTTATTAAAATGGAGACAAACTAAAGAAAAAATTGTTCCCTTCATTGAGAGATTAACATAAATATTTGAACGTGCCTTCATTAGAAATTGGAGATGATGGGAAAACCACTGGATCACCGTCATCATCAATAAAACTATCTTCATACTCATCTTCGTCACTGTGATTAGATCTCTCTGTTTCTGTATCTGCAATATCTTCCCCATATGATTCCCTTTACAATTTAGTGAACAAAATTAAGGGAAAAAAATTGGATTTACACTTAGATTCGATCTTTTGACAGACACACAATGTGGCTATCAAATCTAATACATAAAAAAGGAGGACGCAAATCCAAACAGGAAATCCAAGCAAAGATTTCAATTCTACTAAAGAATAAGTTTATGTGATGTTTCTAATCAAATTTTTCCTGAAAAATGGAAATCACGTTTCCATTCTTCTGAATGAGTTTTAAAGGGAAACCCCACTGCACAAAAGACTTCCTGACTTTGCAAAAGTAGGGATGAGAGTCGATTGTAGATAGCTTTACCCTTCTGGTCACAAAGGAGTAACATTTCCACTACTCCAAGACTCGCCCTTCTCCTGAATACATTTTATGTGTTTCAACTATAAAAAAGTAAACCCCAATGCACAAACACCCCCCTATGAGGTCAACAGGGATGAGGGTTGATTATACTTTAGCAAGAGATTCTTTCCTACACTGAATAATCACAAAAAATCAACCTTAAAGGCTCACCCTCTATGCGTTAAAGTATACCCTAACACAAAAAAAAGAGTTGTAAAAAAACAGGAAAAAGAGCAAGAACAAAAATAAGGATACGAATCATCGTTGATATTGTTATGGCGGCCACTAGCGAGATAGTAACCACAAAGATGAATACTGCGAGGTCCAATTACTGAGAAAATAACTTGTTCAACTTCCTCCAATTCAAGATTCAATTGCAATGACTCAGTAGTTCCAGGATACAGAGAACACAGATACACAGGGCTCCTATTTCCAACATTACACTGCAGTGTGCTTTTCGCTGTTGCAGTGCCCAATCCCAAAGTGGCCTAAAATTATTTTTTGGCATAAACTATTATCCGTAATAATATAATTGCAATAAAATCAAGAGAACAACACTACACACACTATTACCATTGAAATATGAAGGCGTCCTTTCCAGTCATTGTGTGCATGAGTAAAAGGCTTTCCTGGTTTTACTTCAACACCTGAAAATGAATCAATCAATGAATCAATAAATGAAACAATGAATAGTAGTTAGTTAGGTTTTAGAATCGAATGATCGGAACAGAAATGCATAAACAACTTTCTTACCCCAAAAAGCCATGTGTAGTTGCTCCTTCACCGATGCAAAACCCTAAACCCACAAATAAGATGTCTCTGCTTCGCGCCTTTTGATATTCAACAATGACAAAAATATATATATTTATATAAGAAAAAAATAAACTAAATAAACTGAAGATGTTTAACGGACCGCTACTATTGGAATAACTAATAAGTAATAACCTTTTTTTTTTACTTCTGAATAGCCCATACTAATTTGGGCTCTTTTTCTTCCTAACCCTGTATTTTTCAAAACCAATAACCAACAAATAAATAAATGAGACAGTTTATTCTTGTACTGGTGTAAGAATAAAAAACTTATACTAAAATTTGGTCATTGATTTATTTGAATTTAACAATTCTGATATCTAATTATTCAGAGCCGTTAAATATAAATAAGATAAATGGTCGAGATTGAAAGTGTAACTTACACCGATATAAAATAATTCTGAGTCTAAATAAATATACTAGCAACTTTTTTTCTAATTTTTTGATTAGGCAGGAAAATTTTCCCATAATAATATAATTTTTGAATTTTTTTATCAAATTGTGATAGTTTACATATTCTTAACAAAAATTTTAGAACTAACTATCTATATCTAAAAACAATGTGCTGTACAAATAAAAATACGGCTCCACTTGTTTGGATTAAATCAATTACTTTATGGCTATAAAAAAAATCAAATACTTTAAAATTATAAATAAAATTACATAGCTAAACCTCAATCAAGGAAACAATGTTGGCCTAACTAATTTGCAGGCTGGCATTTTTTTTTCTAGTTTATAAAAACATTTTCATAGCAAACAAGCTGATTACTGAATTTTGAGAACCAGTTTGGCTTACAAAATTTTGAACCTAATCCAACTTTTATAGAGTTTATAAACAATGGTAAGGGTAATAATATTTTTACCATTGTTGCTTGCGTCAAATATAAGCAATTAGCTGGATATTTGCTTGTGTCTTAATAACCTCGAACGTGAAATGTTTCAAATGCATTATTCGGTAATATTAATTTACGGAAAGGTTATATTTACTATAATTTTAGACTTACTATCTGATTGGCTGCCGTTGAATCAATTTAAAATCAATAGCAGTTTATTTTTCCATATTTTAACCATTTATTTCAAATTAATCCAATAATAACCAATGAAGTAATAAGAATAGTAAATTTAAAATAGCAGTAAGTATATTCGTCTTCTATATTTATATAGGTTGTTGTTATTATATTTCTCCATTAATATTTTTTCCAACAAAATAGCAAATTTTACAACTCAAAGCGTTGCACAAAGTCCAAGTGTTCTGGTGAAGTTATGATGAATTTTTTAAAGGAAATGCAAAATCCCAAATTGAATATTAGTAAACAATAAAGAAACCTCAACTACCCGTATTTGGAAAGGAACTTAGTCCTCTCGGCACGAGGAAAATATTTAATATACTCTTGACATAGTTTTTGATGGAAAAAACAACTCTAATATTATGGTTATGTGATTTTAAGAATACATAGTCTATTGAATGAAAGGAGTACCCACTACTTTGTGCGACGAGAATACTAAAAATGTTCTCTCGCACGTGATGTGCAAACCTATTCTCATTTGAATTGTTTCTCGACACTATAATAACTCAAACCATTATAACGAGTAATTGGAAATTTTCACAAGATTTAAAGAGACAGATTAGCTGAAAAGTTAAAATTTGTAATTAAGTCATTTTTCGGAGAAAAGTGACGGAGAAAAGTGTGAACACAAAAAGTTTTGTGGTAAAATTTCCAAATATGCAAAAGTTATCCAAAACTTAAAAGTAGTGTATTGAAAAACTATTTTCATATGTTTATGAGTTAAAACACATGTGTGAATGCTAAGTTAATTGGCTAGAAAGAAGTAAAAAAGAGAGAGTAAAAGAGTAAGTTATTGTGTGTAAATTGTTGACCAAAGTCAACTAAGGCTTAAATGAGTTAGTTACATTATCACAGGCCAAAACGACCATACTAGCAACATTTTGCAAATATATCTCTAGGTGAGAGCAGATTTGCAATGTTTCACCAATATAGAGCAGTCAAACGCGTCAAGGCTGATGACGAGATCAATCCCATCAATGTGTACAACGTGAGTCCCTGCCACGTCAGAAAGCATGCAACAGTCCTGTCACCAATGCTGACGTGACACAGTCAGCATTAGTCCCGCCATCTTATGTGACGAGACTAGGATTGACGAATCTGTCAATTATATTGACGAGAATAGCTGTTGATGGCCACGAGGAACCCGTGGTGAGAAAGACCCGTATCAAGTAGACAACTACACACGCAGGTGGTCCCGTTACTGACAATTACTGATTACTAATATAGTCGACTTTTGTAACAACGTTTCTATGGAATTGTTTAATTAAATATGATTACTAATATAGTTGACTTTAATTACAGTTACTGATTACTAATTACATTCATTATTGTTTAACAAAAAAAAATTAGATTAGTTATTAATTATTTTACAAGACAATTTAATATGCCTAACGAGTACATAAAATATTATTAGTATTTAAAAATATTTTACAAGGGATTTACATGATTAATATTTAATTAAAACACTAATAATAGTGAATATTTAATTATTTAACAAATAATTAACAACTTCAATTAAAACGTTTTTTGTGAAGGTGTTATTTGTTATGATTAAATCAGTAATTATACAATTACCATATAAAATTTGACTTTATAATTTTCATTATGTATTATCACTTTTAATACAAGGTTTCTAGGCTTTTTGACCCTTTTATCCTTTATTAATTAAAAAATAACTATTTTGCCCCTGTTATAAAACTATATATCTATTTACCCCTCTTAAATCGATTAAGAAAACATTTAATCGATTAAACGTGGAAAAACTATTTTAATCGATTACTAAATTTGTTTTAATCGATTAACAATTCGACCAAAACCACAGCAACCCTCCAAAACCACAACTCTTTTGATGATGAATTGCAGCCTAGTTCGTGGAACCATGTAGAGCCAGAGAAGGTCAAGAAGAAGGAGAATGAGAAATCGATATTGAGGATGGGGATGAGATCAAGCTTGATACGTGAGAAAGCAAATCCGTTCAACATAGAGAAATTGACAAGAAGGGATTTTACCCCATTGCTTTGTTAGAAGCCATATTATTATTGACCATTAGTGCCTGGCGCTAATCTTGCTCACCGTCTTTTTCCAATTTGTCACCAATTGATCAAGTTCCCAAAGGATCTCTATGTCAACAACCTCAATTTCACGCTCGATCTCATCCCCATCCTGCTTCAAATGCCCATTTCTCTTTATGATATGAACCACCTATTCCATTTTCTCTGGTGGCAACTATGCAACCCAATTCCCAACTTATGCTTCTCCTCAAGGCTCATTTCCCTTTTATTTGGGTCCTTAGCCTTTGGCTTGGGCTGCTTCAAGAGGCGCACGCATTGGGGACGGAGTGCGCACCGGAGACTGCACCAACGGCGGGTTCGAAGAACTCACAGGGTCAGGTGGTGGTTCTATCAATTTGGGAGGCTGTTAATCGATTAAAACAAAATTAGTAATCGATTAACATAGTTTTTCGACATTTAATCGATTAAATGTCTTCTTAATCGATTAAAGAAGGGTAAATAGATGTATAGTTTTAGAACAAGGGTAAAATAGTTATTTTTTAATTAATAAAGGATAAAAGGGTCAAAAAGCCAAGGTTTCTATGCCTTTGATAACTTAAATTTGATTACTATTAATAAAAACACTAATTAATTATTGTTTACTAAAAAATTAAATTATTTTAATTATTACTTAATTTACAAAACAGTTTTCTATTTCTAAGGTTTCATAAAATATTATTATTAACAAGCATCTAATAACGCCATTAATATTTAATTAAAACACTAATAATAATAACTATGAATACTTAACTAAAACACTATTACTATTTCTTCGGGTGTTATTTGTTATTATTAAATCAGTATTTATAAATATTTAAAACAAATATTATGATTTTATAAATTACTAATTAAAATTAACTCTTTATATTTTTCAGTATTAATTATTTATTTATTTTCCTATCAAGGTTTCTATGGCATTCATAACTTAAATATTATTAATATTAATTAAACCATATTTGCCTATTTAATTATTTAATTAATAATTATTAATTAATAATTTAACTTAATAGGTTTTTTCTTAGGGTATTATTTATTACAATTAAATCAGTAATTATAAAATAATTATTAGGGTTTTAATAACTACTAATTATAAATATTACGAAAACATTAAAACAAAATTATTAATTAAATTTACTAATATATAATTACATTTATTAATTATTATTTACCAGAAAAAGAATATGAATTAATGAAAAACAAAACAAAACATTCTTCGACCCTAATTATTAGAAACACAAAACCAATACAGATTTAGGGGTACACAAAACACATCCACAACATGTACAAATTTTGTGATACAGCCAACCTTCTACCAACAAATCAAGGAAAGTGAGGAGCTGCATGCCATTTTTGTTTAAAATTAACCTCTGTATCCACAAACATTTCAACCATTTTTAGGTTTAAGGGTTACATAAACATCCACTTTAAAGTAGTATAACAATATATCTACAAGACATTTCAACCATACCTGTAACGGAGACGACGGAGGAAGCAATCAGACGGTAACAAGAACGCAGCTGAACTTGAAGAAGGAAAACGCGTACAGAGATGAGGGAGAAATCAGAAATGGGAGAAGGAGGGAGGGAGTGGATGGGGTCACGGGTGGAAGAGTTTCGTCAAATGGAGTGATATTACCTCAGGCCTAATCTCGTCACATAAGATGGTGGGACCAATGCTGACCGTGTCACGTCAGCATTGGTGCCGGGACTATTGCATGCTTTCAGACGTGGTAGGGACTCACGTTGTATACATTGACGGGATTGATCTCGTCATCATCCTTGACGCGTTTGATTGCTCTATATTGATGAAACATTACAAATCTGCTCTCACCTGGAGAT